CAGTGTACAGCTGTAGCTGACCCAATTAATATATATCCAGGGGTGTCAAGATGCGAACAGACAGCATCTGTTTTCTGTTGTGATGTGCACTGCTCTACCAGCATCATAGATACACATCATGTAAAGCAATGTATGTATATGGGCACTTTACCTCGGTACTGGGAGTACAGTTGAGCTTGTCTCAGTGAAGGAATATGCTCCTGGCTTGTTCTCGTGTCTGGCCATACAATAAAAAATGGGCTGGAGAGTATCACAGAAAAAATGGGCCAACAAGTAGGCTGGGATCCAGATGAATTGTTGCAAGAGTTTGCAAATCTGTTTTGCTCATTTGATATTTAGCTGTATTGTTTATGGTTCTGCTCCTACAGAAACCTTGGTTCACGTGTATCTTATGAGTATCGGTATTTATGTGTTTAAAGTCACAAGCATCAAGACATTTGATCTTTTTTTGTTCTTACTTACAGGCAGCCCTATTGTTTCTGGTATGTCAGATATGGATTACCCTTTACAAGGGCCAGGTTTGCTGTCAATACCTAATCTTCCAGAGATCAGCTCAGTCCACAGAGTTCCACTTCCCCTGGAGCTAGTGGAGCAGTTCGAACGTATCCTCATGAAACAAAATGTGTTGGATTTTGTAAACAGTAATATTAGGAACAAACTCCTTTCCTCCATATTCTTCTTCCCCAACCTTCTTGTCAGACTCCTAGCAAAAAACCTTTGTGTTGTTCACATTCCTTTCATGACACTCCAAGTTGTAACAAGGTCCTTTGTGTAGAGTTGTTGGTAGAACTGGTTTCTGTGTGAAGAATTTTCAAGTTTATGGTATGTAGTTGTGTACTACTGTATATTAGGTAATATGCTTTTTTTTAAATGCTCCAAGGAGGATTTTGCCTTTGCTGTACCCAAAATGCATTTAATCCTTACATCAGCAGTGCTGCAGACATGCAGTGCAATTGTATGATGGGAGTATTTCCAGAGATCAGCAGAGCTTGGCTGACCATCGACAGTGACATCTTTATGTGGAACTATGAAGATGGGTATGTAGAAAACACATTCATGATGATGTTCTATTGGTATTATACCAGAATTAAGTGATTACAGTAGTGGAGATTGTTTACTGGCAGCACAGAGGTGTGCTCTTCAGTTTAACTGTTTCCTTCTAGGTTTTACTAAAACTTTTGAGTAAGTATTTAAGGGTCTGTAAGAGTTGGTAATATTGCTGCAAAATCACCTGCAGATGAAAGAACGGAAAATGCATTTGCTTAGGGTTAGACATAGCTAATATCCTAAAGTTATTCTGCTTAGGTGTTGGAGAATGGCGGGACATAATCCTGGGTATGCACCTGGGGAAGGCTAAAAAGAGCAAGGACGCAGTCCCCTGGGAATGCATGGACACAGACCTGGGAACGCACCTGGGAATGCAGTGTACAAGCAAGGCTCTGGAGATAGTAACTTATATATAGATAGGGAGTAACTCAGCTGGGCAGATGGCAGGGGTAAGTCGTCCTTGAGGGTGAGACAAACAAGTTCGAGACAAACAGCTAGGAATGCACCCAATGCCGCTGCAAGTAGGGAGAGTACCTGAATGCTATCTCTAGAGCTTAGCCAATTATAAATGATTGATAGTTATATGCCTGTCCTGCACTGTGTAAGAGAGAGCCTGTCGGACAATAAAGTTGGAGCTTGCTGTATCACCCACACGGAGTCGGCCGCTTGCTTCCCCGCGCGGAACTTTCCCTTTCCGAACACTTATACTAGTGGTTTGCTTATGTTAAAATAGTAGAAAAAAATACTGTGTTTGCCTAACTTTTCTAAGTGGTCTTAGTAGGTACTGAGATGCTATACAGTGACTAATCATTCCTACAATCATGAGTGATAAAGCATTGGTATTTGGAAGTGTTGTTATGGAAGCTTTCCTTCCTTGCTTACTTATGGGTGCATAAGACTGAAAATTTCATTACATTTTCAAATGGTAGTGATAACGTTTATAGTTTGCAGGTTTGCTTCTTCATTTGCCCACATAATAAGAATATTTTTAGTAAGAATTGATTTGTACATATTGTTGCATTTCCTAATAAGATTAAAATTCAGATTAGCTCCTATCTATACATTTGCATTGTGTCAGAGTCTGTTAAATACATTCCCCAAAGAAAACAGCACTGCATGGTCCTAATGACAGACAGTAGGGAGGAAGTGGGGAATTCTTGTTTTAGATATTTTCATAGGAAGGGGCAATATAATGTTATTTTTTTCTCATGATGCTAATCAGCATTGCATAATTCAGAGTAGACTATGAATTAGCAAAATCCAAAAATACAAAATGCTGCAGTTGGGTTTCAAGTTTGAAACTCAACAATAAGGGCTTCCAGCAGCTCAAATGACTGTTGTCAAACTTCTGTCAGTCCATTCTGCTGGACCTGCTTTCACTGGAAGCAGAAGCTGTAGATTACTTCATAGTCTTAAAAAAAGTGTTGATAATATTTATATATCATCTGACTTTATTTACTTTGTTATTATGTGATACTATGTGACAAGTTTTATGGAGGTTTTTGTTTGTTCATTGACAGGGGAGATCTGTTTTATTTTGATGGCCTTAGTGAAATTATTCTTGCAGTGGGTCTGGTAAAGCCAAAGGCAGGTAAGGAATATATGACAGTGATTAAAATGAGGCAAATACTGAACCTCTTATGTATTTTTAACATGTGCATATTTATTTAATATTTTATTGAAATAGTAAAAAATAAGAATATTAATATAGAATAGGATGCCTTGGGTTTTATATATGCATATATATTAACATGCATATATATTAATGAGTGGACTTGGCACTTAGTGCTGTGGTTTAGTTGACATGTTGGTGTTCAGTTTCAAGGCTGGACTCAATGACCTTGGAAGTCTTTGCCAGCCTTAATGATTCTCTATGTGAAAATCTGTGGTTTGTGTGTATGTATATATGTACACACAGCGTACATGGGTTAGTTTTGATTTTAGAAATGTGAAACTAATTACAAGCCAAAAATAATGTATACTTTAACAATTATTTACACTC